GATATTCACTTTCCAATGGTATTAAAATTGTTCCTAACCTAACCTAAATGATATTAACATTGTTCTATATCTATAGACGGACCCCCTAGTTGATACCGCAGAAGTCGTAATCATGTCCAGTTGTTCGTGAGGGGCTAATTGATCAAAAACGACAACAGATGAAAACGCCATAGATAATAACCGTTTTGTGTACCAATTTTAAAAAAAAAAAACATAAAAAAGACTTAAAAAGCAACTATAATATTATGCCCTTGCCCTTCTAGTTATAGAGCTAAAAAAAACAATAAAACTATAAGAATTTATTATTTTGTTATCTAAAAATAAAATTGAATTTTAGATTCTGCAGAGTGGAACGATGAATGTATTGATTTTACAATGATGTGTGTTTTTTAATTTTTAATTTTAGATTCTGAGCGGAGCGATGAATGTATTGGTTTTACAATGATGTGTGTTTTTTTTTATATTTTTTTTTGTGTCTGTCATCACGTTTTAGGACAGTAAAAGTGCTTGGATTTTCTTCATCAGTAGCTTTTCTGATAGGAAAGGGAATCTAGTTGGTACTTTGGGGGGTCAAAAGTATAAATTTCCCAGTAGTTTTCACAAGCGCCGGGAAAAACAACATAAAAATTAAGGAAAAACGGGAATTTTTACGAAAAAATGGTTTTCCAAAAAATCGAATTTGGTTTTTGGTGTAACTTTAAAACAAATTACCGTAAATACATGACATTTTCACTGGTTGTTTATATTTGCATTTTCTATACACGATAACATTTTCAAAATATTTTGATTTATTTTGAACTGTTTAGGAACATTTTCATTTTTCTTTTTTTTTTAGTTTTTTTTCTAGAAATATCAATAAATATTTATTTGTTGGTTAAAAAAACTTGAAAATTTAATAGAAGGCTCCTAGTATATTGTTTCAATGGAAGATGAAAAATATTAAAAATCGTTAGTCACAGTTTTTTTTATAAGCATTTAAAGTTCAAAAATTGACAAAATATGGAAAAATCACGAAAATTAGCAAATTATTTTGAGTTAAGAATTCGCAAAAATTTTTCTTTTTAAATCTAAGATTTGAAAATGTAATACAAGATTACTCATAAGTTTGTCTACCTTTATCAATAAAAAAATCTCTACCCGACAGTCAAATTAAATTTTTTTTTTTTATTGATCTATTTTTTATTTAACAACCCGGCATCATAGGCCATTAGTTACAGTTTTTTTTTTTGTGCTACTTTTGTTACATGCTTATATTTATATTTACATTTGCATTATATTTGTCCTATTAAATTAATCGATTTTAAAAAATTAAGTATTTTCCTGTTTTGAGCGGGATCCGGACCGAGTAGTGAATTGAGTGTTTCTGTAATGTTGAAGTTTATTCGTTCCTGTTGATAGAGTTGGCATTCCGTTAGTATGTGTTTGATGGTGAGGGGGGTCCCACATCCTTCACATGTGGGAGGTTCTTCTTTTGACATGAGGTATCCATGTGTTAATCTGGAGTGCCCAATTCTGAGTCGGTTTATAGTGGTTTCTTCTTTTCGGTTAAATTCATGATTTTCCCAACTGAATGTTGTTCTTTTTATCTGGTTTAGTTTTGTGTCTTGATCGTTCCAGAGTAGATGCCATCTTTTCCTTATTTGTGTTTTAACTGCCTTTTTGATGTCGTCATATGAGGAGATGTTTAGTTTGGTTGTGTTTTTGTTGGATGCGGCAAGTTTAGCGTATTTGTCCGCTATTTCATTCCCTGCGATGCCGGTGTGTCCGGGGATCCAAATTATTGCTATTTGTTTTTTATTTGTTTTGGCTTCATCAAGTTGGTTTTGGATGAGGACTGAGATGTCATTTGGGTTGTTTTTGTTTTGGATGTTCTTTATGGCGCTTAGGGAGTCACTAAGGATTACAAACTTTGTATGTTTAGTGGTTTGGATGGTTTCAATGGCTTTTAGAATGGCTATAGCTTCAGCTGAAAATATTGAGCACTCATTTGGAAGTTTAAATGTTATATTAGTATTTTCAAGTACGATGGCAATACCGACACCTTCGTTTCCCTTTGAAGCATCGGTATAAATTTTTTGGTGGTCCTTGAAGTCGTCGAGGATGTTGTAGACATGGCTTCTAAATATCTCAGGTGATGTATTTTGTTTAGAAAGGGCATTTAGTTCGGTGTTGATTACATAGGAGTAATCCCATGGGGGGGGGTGTTATTGATTTCTCTGGGGATAATTTTAATTGGGGTTGCTGCATTTTCGTTGGTTAGCTTGGTTATTTCTTTATTTACGTCCCTATTTTTATCTTTGTTGAGTCTGGATAGTCTTGCTATATAATTTATGAATAATTCTGTTCTTTTCAATGTAGGAGGGGATTCGCCAGCTAAGTTATAGATGCTGAGAATAGGGCTGCTTCGAAAGGCTCCTATTGCCAGTCTTAAACCGCTATTGCTTACTGTTTCGATCAGTTTTAGAGTTGTATTGGCTGCTGATCTGTATAGAATTGCGCCATAATTGATTTTGGCTTGGGTGGTTGCATTGAATATTTTCAGGAGCGACTTGGATTCACCGCCCCATGAGGTGTGGGATAAAATTTTAATTATTTTTAATGAGTTGTTTGTTAATTTTTTTAGATATTTTATGAAGGGGGACCAGGTTTGGCGTCTATCGAATATTACTCCTAGCATTTTCGTTGTGTTTTTATTGGTTATTGTGGTGCCGTTTAAATTGATTACGATATCTTTTGCTCTTTTTTTTGTAAAGATTGTACATGTTGACTTCCCTGGTGAGAAGTTGAATCCTGTTTTGTTTGCCCATGTTTCAATGTTGTTGGTAGTTGTTTGTAATAGGTTTTTAACTGTTTCAATACTATTGCTCCTGCACCAGAAGTTAAAGTCATCTGCATACATATTGCATTTTACAGGTAGTCTGCAATTTTGGACTATGTCGTTAATTGATATTAAGAAGAGAGTTACTGAGAGAGCCGAACCTTGGGGTACTCCATTTTCTTGCGTAAATTCGTGTGATAGGTAATTGTTGGCTCTTACTTTGAATTTTTGGTTTGATGTGAAGTTAGATATTAAATTTAGAAGTCTGCCCTTGTTGAGGACTGAATTTAATTTAACTAAAATATTATGTCTCCAGGTGGTATCATATGCTTTAGCAATGTCTAAGTTGATTACGCCCATAAATTGCTTGTTTTCAAATGTTTTGGTTATTTCTTCATTTATTTCGTAGAGGCTATCCATAGTGGATCTATTTTTTCTGAAGCCGTTTTGTTTTGTTGAGAAGAAATTGATTTTTTCTAGAAACCAGGTCAGTCTGTAGTTTATTATTTTTTCTAGAAGTTTGCACATTGTGTTGAGTAGAGTTATCGGTCTGTATCCTTCAGGTTTGAATTGATTTTTATCATGTTTAGGGATAGGAATTATGGTCCCGGATTTCCATTTTTGGGGCCAATATCCCTCATTAAATATTCTATTATAAATGTTAAGCAGAAGATTAAGAGTTTTTGTCCCAAAATGTTGGATAAAGACGTATGGGATGGTGTCGGGTCCGGGGCTATTGCTATTGCATGTTTTTAGTGTGTGTGTTAATTCCTGTATTTTGATTTCTTGGTTGATTTGTATTTGGTCTTGACAATTTTTATCGGAGGTATTGCTTATAGCTTCTTTTTCGCATTTTTGTTTGTTTACTAGAAAGTGTTGTGTGTAGTTGTTGTCACTGCTATTTTTATAAAAATATTCGCCGAGGTTATTTGATATTTGATCTGGTTTATTTATTAATTGGTTAGAATTTGGGTCGATTAAGTTGATTTTTTTATTTCGTCTGAGTCCTTTTAGAGATTGTATTTTGTTCCAAACTGATTTTGAGTCGGTGTTTTCTTTTATGCTGCTAGTGAATTTTTCCCATGACGATTTTTTACTGGTTTTTATCAGGAATTTTGATTTGGCTCTTAAATGTTTTAGTAGTATAAAATCGTCTAGTTTATTTGTTTTTTGGAACTTTCTAAGGGCGTCGTTTTTTTCTTTAATTGAATTTTTAATGTCGTGGTTCCACCATGGTACTTTGGGTTTGGGGTTTTTTGATTTGGTTTTTCCTATAGTCTGGTTGGCTACTGAGATAATTGTTTCCGTAAATTCGTCAACCAAGTTTTCTGTGTTTTGAAATTCAGATTTGTCTATATGGGAAACTTTGTCATCTAGTGTTTCAGAGAAAAGTCTCCAGTCTGGGTTTTTCAGATTCCATCTTTCGAGGTTGGGGATGCTATCGTTATAACGGGGGATAAGTTGTATTACAATTGGAAAATGGTTGCTGCTAGTAATATTGGGTAGGACCGACCAGTTGAGCCTTTGTGCTAGGGATGCATTTGCGAATGATAAGTCAATATTTGAGAAGTTGCCATTAGTTGGATTTATACGCGTTGGTTCCATGTTGTTGAGTAGTACCAGATTATCGTTTTCCAGGATTTTTTCGATTTCTTTCCCTCTGCTGTCGGTGCTTAGGGAGCCCCAACTGACGTTGTGGCTGTTGAAGACACCTGTTATGATGAAGGGCTTGGGTAGTTGCTTTATTATATTTTCTATGTCTTTATCCTTAAATGTGTGTTGGTTGGGTAGATATATGTTGCATACGTTTACTTCAATATCATTGAGTTTTACTGCTACTGCGATTACTTCAAGGTGGGTTGAGATATAGATTTCTTTAGATGGGTATATAGAGCTTACGTATGTTGTTACTCCACCGCTGGCCCTAAGTCCAGTGGTTCTGTGTTTGCCAAAATCATTGTAGTTGGGTAGTTTTGCGGTATTTAGATTTGTAAAGTTGGTTTCTTGGAGACATATTATGTCAGGAGAGATTTCGGATATTAGTATTTTTAGTTCGTCTAACTTTTTGTAGAAACTATTCATATTCCAATGTAGTATTTTCATTATTATTTTGTGTTAAATTTTTTTTTTTTAATTAAGGTTTGATGGGGGCGAGAGATATGAATAGGATTTTTTATGTTTTTTATAATTGCTCTGTGGTAGGGTTGTTACCTAGAGTTATATCGAGTAGGGAGTTGGAGAGTCTGGATAGCCTGTTTTTGATGCTTAGATTTTTAACCTTAGGGCGGATCGTATCCAGAATTTCGATCATTTCCATCCACGATATATTGAACTCCTTTAGAACACTAGAAGGGTCCTGGGTGCTGAGTGTATTTTCTATTATGTATTTGAGTTGATTAAAATCTATTTTTCGATTTGGCATTTTTTCAAACTCCAGCTTGGCTGATGCTAACGACTCGTCTAATTTTAATATAATTTGTTCAATTGAGTTTGATCGTTTTGGTTTTTTTGTGAGCGGTTGGGTTGGCTTATTGGCTTTAGGGTTGGAATCGTTGGTCTTTGGAGTTGTAGGATGTGTTGTTGGTGGGTTGTTTGCTTTTCTTTCTTTGGATTGTGACTCTTTTAATTTTGTTACTAATGAGCTCTTGTTGATTATTACGTTTTGTGTGATACTTTTTGTTTGAGATAGATTAATTGGATTTTCTGTGGTGAGGTCATTATCCATGTTTAAAATGCTAGAAGATGATGAAGGCGCTGGTCGTTTTACTTGTTCCACTTGTTCTTGGGAGGAAAATGGAGAATTACTACTACTGTTTGATTGGTGTTCGAAATCATGTTGTTGAGTGTTACTTTCTGTGTCGTTGACGCTTGGGATAGAATTTTGGTGGCTCTGTTGGGAATCAGTAATTTTATTTTCTGTTGCATTTTTGCATCGATTTGATGTGTGACCAGTTTGTTTGCACAGGTAACATATTACCGTGTCATCTGATAGAAAGATACGGTATTCTGTTTGTTCGAATTCAATTAAGATTGAGCTGGGTAATTTATCATTGTCGTCTGGGTTTATATATAATTGTCGGCGGAAGCTACCAATATGCCCATATTCATTATCAGTGAAACCGGCCTTCATAAAGGTAATCGGTGATAGTATTTTAATTGACAAATTTGCGATTGCGTTTTTAATTGCTTCGTGCGGTATGATCGGTTGAACGTTAGATAATATTATTCTTTTGGCTGGGTTAATTAGACGGCGGAATGTTATCTTTGAATTATTTATGACAATGTGTGACTGCTGGCTAATTATTTGTTCGACAATATTTTTATTTGTAAAGTAAATGCAAAATCTATTATTAGATATTCTAGATGCGAATGTGATGTTGGTTGGTGAAGTAAGTTGACTGAAGGCTTTAATATACTCAATTTGAGGGACATCTTCAATAGAGTTAAAAACGATTGCTCTTGGTCTTTTTTTGGAAATTGTATGTTTGCTGTGGTTTCTGCGAAAGTTTTGGTGTTGTTGGTTTGAGAAGCGGACGGTGAAGTGTCGAGAGAGTTGGGTTTGGTGGGATCCATATTTTGGATATGAGGTGGGGGGGGTCGAGGTTTTAGGCACCTGATGTAACAATGGTTATCGATAGTGTGTCTACATACCTTCTTGATTGCTGCTTGTCGAGTTTTACTGCTATCGGAAGCTATATAAATGTGATTTGCGTTGACCGTTGCACACGTGTGTATCGGTCGGAGGTTGCACACGTACTGAAATTAAATTTTTATGAGCGTCTGAAATTCAAATTTTTACAACATTGGATGTTCACTCGATTTCTCATGTAGCGATTTCCTTATTTTGTTGTTATTTAATATTTATAAACGAATAACTATAGATACATGAAAATTTCACTGAATGTTTATATTAGCATTTCCTATACACCATACAATTTTGAAAATATTTCGACTCTTTTTGAGCTGTTTACGGATATTTTCATTTTTCAATTTTTTTAGTTTTTTTTTCTATGAATATCAATAAAGTTTTATCTGTTGGGCCAAAAAGTGTAAAAATTTAATACAAGGCTCCTGATATATTGTTACAAAATCAGTTGAAAAATATTAAAAATACATAGTCACAATTTTTTTTTTATAAGCATTTATACATCGAATTTTGACAGAATTTTTCAAAATCTCGAAAATTATTAATCATCATAATTAATAAATTAAAAAATGTTCAGTTTTTATAGCTAAGGATTGCAAATTTAAAACAAAGTTTCTCATAAATAGTTCATACTGTAACCAAAAAATCTAAAAAATATATCAACACAGTTATTTTTTACAGACTTTTTAAATTCAAATTTGGACGAAATTACATATTAAAAAACCTAGAATAACTATTTTACTTATTTGTTGTGAATGTATAATATTATTCGTGGGTACTTGAAACTTCTAAAGTGTACTATTACATATATCTATGATAGTATCACGGTTTTTGTTGATGTATAACGCGTTATAAGTACCTAATGGATATTGTGATATGATTAATTTGGAATTTATTATAGGTACCTTATTATAGATATGTATATAATATTATAATATGTCTTATACCTAGACTGACATACCGTCTCGGGTCTCCTCTCAGAATCGTTTTTCTTATACAATGATATTGTATCGTTGAATTCAAATTTAATATCATCCATTATACAGTGACCCACTTGTAACCTACTGTACAGCAGAGCGACACCCACTTGCCCACCTTTTTTCTTATATTATTATTAATTATTCCGATATCGTAATAAATTAACTATACTATAATATATATATATATAATATAAAATTATTTCAAAGTTAAATACACAAGATGAATTACTAAATTCAATATTATTAAATAAGACGTATGAATATGTATATACAAACAAATATTTAATCATTACAATAGTTATTATAATATTATACGCGAGTATAAAATTCTGTATTAAAAAAAAAAAAGGTGGGCAAGTGGGTGTCGCTCTGCTGTACAGTAGGTTACAAGTGGGTCACTGTATAATGGATGGTATTAAATTTGAATTCAATGATATAATATCATTGTATAAGAAAAACGATTCTGAGCGGTGACGGTATGTCAGTCTATGTATAAGACATATTATATACATATCTATGGTATTAAACAAAAAATTGACCTATAATAAATTCCAAACTAATCATATCACAATATCCATTAGATACTTATAACGCGTTATACATCAACAAAAACCGTGATACTATCATAGATATATAATAGTACACTTTAGGAGTTTCAAGTACCCACGAATAATATTATTCAATCACAACAAAATAACTAAAATCGTAAATCTTGGTTTAAATATGAAATTTTGTCTAAATTTGAAATTAAAATGTCTGTAAAAAATAAGTGTTTTTATATATTTTTTAGAATTTTTGGTTACAGTATGAATTATTTAAGAGAATCTTTGATTTAAATTTTCAACTCTTAGTTATAAAAACTGAACATTTTATAATTTTTTAAGTCCAACGATTGATAATTTTCTAGATTTTGATAAATTTTGTCAAAATTCCAACTTTAAATGCTTATAAAAAAAAATCGTGCCTATGTATTTTTAATATTTTTCAACTGATTTTGTAACAATATATCAGGAGCCTTGTATTAAATTTTTACACTTTTTGGCCAAACAGATAAAACTTTATTGATATTTATAGAAAAAAAAACTAAAAAAATTGAAAGCTGTAAATGTCCATAAACAGCTCAAAAAGAGTCAAAATATTTTCAAAATTGTATGGTGTATAGGAAATGCTAATATAAACATTCAGTGAAATTTTCATGTATCTACAGTTGTTCGTTTTTGAATTGCAACAAAATAAAGAAATCGCTACATGAGTAATCGAGTGAATATCCAATGTTGTAAAAATTTGAATTTCAAACGCTCATAATAATTTAACTTGACTGTCCGGTAGAGATTTTTTTATTGATAAAGGTAGATAATCTTATAAGGAATCTTGTGTTTCATTTTCAAATCTTAGATTTAAAAAGAAAAATTTTTACGAATTCTTAACTCAAAATAATTTGCTAATTTTCGTGATTTTTCCATATTTTGTCAATTTTTGAACTTTAAATGCTTATAAAAAAAATTGTGACTAAGGATTTTTAATATTTTTCATCTGCCTTTGAAACAACATATTAGGAGCCTTCTATTAAATTTTCAAGCTTTCGCAACCAACAAATAAAATTTTATTGATATTTTAGAAAAAAAACTAAAAAAAATGGAAAATGAAAATGTCCCTAAACAGTTCAAAATAAATCAAAATATTTTGAAAAAGTTTATCGTGTATAGAAAATGCAAATATAAACAACCAGTGAAAATTTCATGTTTCTACGGTCATTTGTTTTAAAGTTACACCAAAAACCAAATTCGATTTTTGGAAAATCGATTTGCGTAAAAATTCCCGTTTTTCCTTAATTTTTATGTTGTTTTTCCCGACGCTTGTGAAAACTACTGGAAAATGTTTACTTTTGACCCCCCAAAGTACCAACTAGATTCACTTTCCTATCAGAAAAGGTACTATTGAAGAAAATCGAAGCACTTTTTCTGTCCTAAAACGTGATGACAGACACAAAAATATAAAAATATAAAAATATAAATAAAATATAAAACATACATCATTGTAAACCAATACATTCATCGCTCCGCTCAGAATCTAAAAAAAAGGTGGGGAAGTGGATGTCGCTCTGCTGTACTGTAGGTTACAAGCGGGTCACTGTATAATGGATGGTATTAAACTTGAATTCAATGATATAATATCATTGTATAAGAAAAACGATTCTGAGCGGAGACGGTATGTCAGTCTAGGTATAAGACATATTATATACTTATCTATTATATGGAATTTATGAATAAATTATTCATTGCCCCTTATATTATGCACAGTCTTATCAATGAGCATACTTCTTATTCCTTGTACTATGGTAGATTGTATGGATAGGCCATAATATTTTGATTTTTCAGTTTCATATATCCCCGAATAATATTTTTAAATTACAACAAAAAACCCATGATCGTTAATATTGATTTTAATATGTAATTTCGTCCAAATTTGAATTTAAAATGTCTGTAAAAAATAACTGTGTTCATATATTTTTCAGATTTTTTGGTTACAGTATGAACTATTTATGAGAATCTTTTTTTTAAATTTTCAATCCTTAGCTATAAAAACTGAACATTTTATAATTTATTAATTACGGTTGGTGTACGTATGGTGTTTAGGAAATGCTAATATAAACATTCAGTGAAATTTTCATGTATCTACAGTAATTCGTTTTTGAATTACAACAAAATAAGGAAATCGCCACATGAGAAATCGAGTGAATATCCTATGTTGTAAAAATTTGAATTTCAAACGCTCATAAAAATTTAATTTGACTTTCTTATAGAATTTTTTTTTTTGATAAATGTAGGAAATCTTATAAGGAATTTTGTATTACATTTTCATATCTTAGATTTAAAAAGCAAAATTTTTATGAATTTCTAACTAGAAATAATTTGCAAATTTTCGTGATTTTTCCATATTTTGTCATTTTTTGAACTTTAAATGCTTAAAAAAAACTGTGACTAACGATTTTTAATATTTTCATCTGTCTTTGAAACAATATAGTAGGAGCCTTGTATTACATTTTCAAGTATTTTTACTCAACAAATAAATTTTTATTGATATTCATAAAAAAAAAAACAAATAAAATTGGAAACTGAAAATGTCCCTAAACAGTTCAAAATAAATCAAAATATTTTGAAAATGTTATCGTGTATAGAAAATGCAAATATAAACAACCACTGAAAATTTCATGTATCTACGGTCATTTGTTTTAAAGTTACCCCAAAAACCAAAATCGATTTTGCGTAAAAATTCCCTTTTTTCCTTAATTTTTCTTTTGTTTTTCTTGGCGCTTTTGAAAATTATTGCGAATTTTAAATTTTGACCTCCCCAATGCACCAACGATATTCACTTTCCAATGATATTAAAATTGTTCCTAACCTAACCTAAATGATATTAACATTGTTCTATATCTATAGACGGACCCCCTAGTTGATACCGCAGAAGTCGTAATCATGTCCAGTTGTTCGTGAGGGGCTAATTGATCAAAAACGACAACAGATGAAAACGCCATAGATAATAACCGTTTTGTGTACCAATTTTAAAAAAAAAAACATAAAAAAGACTTAAAAAGCAACTATAATATTATGCCCTTGCCCTTCTAGTTATAGAGCTAAAAAAAACAATAAAACTATAAGAATTTATTATTTTGTTATCTAAAAATAAAATTGAATTTTAGATTCTGCAGAGTGGAACGATGAATGTATTGATTTTACAATGATGTGTGTTTTTTAATTTTTAATTTTAGATTCTGAGCGGAGCGATGAATGTATTGGTTTTACAATGATGTGTGTTTTTTTTTATATTTTTTTTTGTGTCTGTCATCACGTTTTAGGACAGTAAAAGTGCTTGGATTTTCTTCATCAGTAGCTTTTCTGATAGGAAAGGGAATCTAGTTGGTACTTTGGGGGGTCAAAAGTATAAAT